TCAGTATGGATGGACAAGGACATAGTGGTGGTCTCCTGATTGCCATAGCACAGGGGTCTGTCTATACGAGCACTTCAAGATTTTTACATGCATTTTCAAGTTCAGCATTAAAAGTGCGTACAGGAAGGGAAAACGCCATCACAGCGCTTGTCAGTCCGGCTGCACGTGAGGTACAGAGACAGATACAGACCTCCAGGTCCCACTCTCAGAGAGTCTGATTCAGTAGGGATGGGCTCAGGTCAGGCAATGAGTATTTTTAGTAAGCATCACCAGGTGATTACAGCTAGCGTCTCAGAGCACTTGCTCTATGGTTTCTGCAATGGCATCCTCTTTACAGCAGCAGCCAGCCTCATCTTTCTCCTGTGGAATGGCTGGTGGTTTCTAACTGGTGACCCTGCAGTTAGCAGTCCAGTGCTTAACAATTATGATTACAGTCTTAGTTTGGTGGTTAGAGTCCACAGCTTCTTTAGATCTCAGGCTTTTATTGAAAAGAAGTTATAACCAAACTCAGTGAAAGTTTTTCATAGCTAAGGTGATGAAGGGAGCAGGATTCTCAGCAATTTTGCCTTCTCCCAGTGAGTGAGCAGAACTCAGGATTTATGCCAAATTCTCAATTTGGCTTCACACATTAAAGTCCAGTCTTTTCTCCGAGATTAGAGATTAGCTGAAAGTCACATTGTCTAGATTTATGTCTCATGCTGTCTTCATTATTCAGATATCAAGTCAAAGCCAACTTTTCCTAAAGCAGTGCTCTGAATCATTTCTTCCCAGTTCAGTCATGGCCAACAAAGTGAATCCAGAGCTCCTGGTAGCGTAGTGGTTACGGATCAGGCTGCGAACCTTAAGGTCAGTGGTTCGAAACTACCAGCCGCTCTGCGGGAGAAAGATAAGGCTTTCTACTCCCATAAAGATTTACACCCTCGGAAACCCTGTACAGGGTCGCTATGGGTCAGAACCGACTCGACGGCACTTAACAACAACAAACTCATATAATGAGTTGCTTATACATGTATTTTGAATATAAAAGTGACTGTAGCTTATGGGATTTGAGAGCATTATAGAAAGGCCCCTTGAAGTCCTAGACATCTTGGCGTCTACACCCATCTGGTTTTCATACTGCAAGGCCTCAATCTAGAAGTGGTCCCATTCCTGAGGCCTCGCTGGAGTGGAAGCAACAGGCCCGAGGCCGTGGAGTCCTGGTTAAGATGGGGCAGCCTGCTGGGCACCACCGTAACTACAGCTCAGCCTTCCCCACACCTGTGCACCCTCCCACCAATTATCTTTTTTCTTAAGCAGCAGGGTCAGCAGCTGTTTTCTTTTCAAGCTGCCCCATGCAGGCCTCCACTCATACAACAATTCTGATAGGCCCACCCCAGAGAGACTACGGCCGGTCCTTACTGTCTCAGCATCCCCCACTTTCTCACAAACATCCCCAACCAGGTTAAGCAACTCATCTATATTTACTTCATAAAGGTTCACTCTTGATAACTCTGTACATATTCTACGTTGTAGAAGCAGAGAGGCAAACGATTAAAACTTAGAGACGTTAATAAACTAATTCAATCAGGACACATCAGAGTGACATTATGAACACTTTTTTAATAACATCAGATAGCAAATTTATACAATGACAAGCGAGAATATAATGAATACAAAATGCATTCTTTTAACGGCTAGAAAAGCATCATTTACAAAAGTAAGTCCAATTCAAGTGGCTAAAGAACGTAAGCCCCCCATTTTGCTAATTACACGCGGCTGTTAATGCAGTATCTCTAAGCCCTCCCCCTAGTCTGGGCACAATTCATACTCTACAGTATATTCAATGACTAGCGAGTTCAAGTTTCTACCACTTTTAGCATCGATGTCAAGACATCTCTTAACAGGTTCACTATGCAAAACTCCAACGAGAATGTGTGAACTTTCTTTGCAAACTGTAAGGTGCTGTGCAGATGTCGTTAGCTATTGCTATTACTCCTGTTCAGCGAGATTTCACTGAACTAGTTTGGGGAAAAAAAAGGAAGACTAGTCTGTATAACTCACAAATGACTTATAGAACATCTGAACAAGAACACAGATATTACTTCAAGTACACGTAGCAAAAAAACAAAACAAAACAAAAACCAGGCAAGGAAAGTATGGTCCAGTGATGTGAAGCTGAGGAATTTCAGACTCTTTTGGCAACTATATGAAGGGTTCGTTTATAGACTGCATGTACTATTTATTAGCTACTCAAAATCCCAAAAAGTTATTTATGACCCTTTCTCCTCTGCCTCAGCCTTACGGTTAGCAGTCCAGTGCTTATCCATCAAGGCTCATTTGGCCAGCTCTTATAAAACCCTGGGCATCAAGTCTGAGTTAATAAAGTTGCCCTACTCTTGTGGACCACACATATCACTCACTCTGTTACTGACTTGAGCACAGGGACGATGGGGCCCAGCAACAGTCCACAACGTCACCATGAATCTGAACTTGTCTGCAGACTAGAAAGACAGACAAAGCACGTTTGAAATTTGAGAGAAAGTCTTTGCTTCATTACCTTCAGCTTTATTCTTTGTGTACACTTGATGGGTTTAACTGTTTTTATCAGCCTCCTTGGGTATACTGGTGGTGGTGGTGGTGGTGGTGGTGGTGCTGTGCCGTGGAGTCGGGTCAGACTCATAGCCACCCTAAATAGGGTTTCCGAGACTGTTCAGCTTCACCGGAGCAGAAAGCCTCATCTTTCTCTCGCAGAATGACTGGTAGTTTAAAACTGCTGACTGACTCGTCACCACTACGTTACCGAAGCTCCTTTTGGGTACACTAGCTGTACCTATGTATCTATACGAAAATGGAAAATAAAATACCAAACAAGTCCACCTTTGATTTTGGCCAAGCTGATGAGATTTTGATGATGAAAACCTTCTAATCTTAATGACTACTATGCATTTATGTTGGAGTCCCATGAAACATGACAAAAGTTTGTATGACTTTTGCTCTTCCTCAGTGACATCAGTTACATTCTATAGCAGACTGTTCATTTTTCAGCACAATGGGGAAAAGATCACATTTTGGGGGGTGGGGGGCGGCAAAATGGGAGATGAGACCAGCATTGCCACAGCCAACAGTGTTAATCAGGAGCTTGTACAGATACTTTCAGGTTGATTTCCTAGTTCATGTTAGTCTTTACTAGCAATTTTCCAACTAGAGTGAATAGATTCCTCACTTAAACATTTATCAGGGCTCATATTGTAGCTTTCCTTTCTATACATCATGAAGTATGTACACCGTGCAAAAGAAAACCAGTAAAACATATTGACAAATAAATCTATTTGTGAAATGCCAAGTGATTTAACATAGTGAAGATAGCAGCGAACTAGTGAACAGTTGAAACCCTATCAGAAAAACTAAGTAGTTTAAAAAAAAAAAAAAGCCTACTCCGTAATAACGTGAAGTATCAACTCAAGCATCTGATTGGACCTTTAAGGTACTTGGTACTTATAACCAACAAGAAATAACAACTGCTTCTGTATGCATCCCTGGTTTCAACACTTGCATTAAAAAAAAAAAATACCCAGGTCCGAAACGAAACAAAATAATTCAGCATTGGACATTTAATGTTTACAGTCACAGGTGCTCCTCGAAGCACAAAGAGCAATGGTACAAGTCTAAGTAGGATAGGACACCTAAAGAGATCAACCACACACTTACCAAATGGCACTAGACTAAAAGTGTAGTTCCTTTTTGTAAAACAAAACATTTCGATTAACTGCTTACAGAAGATATTTAAACTGTACACAGCACATTACTATAAGTAAAAATGTAAAAAACTCCCTACTACAGTCACATTCTACTTTTCTTTAGCAATTAAATAAATGCAAAGGCCTACTTGACTTTTATGCCGAGGCATTTCTCTCTGCCTTTCGTCCAGTTCCATAACAGAATACAGCATTATATGGGTGAAAAATACAGGGGAAATGACAAACACGTAAGGGTGGGCCACTGTGTTAGGATCATCAATGACATTAAGTTTGAGTAATGAGATGCCTCCCTATAGGATGAAAAGCAGAATGTGCATTAGGAGAAAATGGGCGAAGTAATTTGCAACTGAATGATTGCAAGTGGCTGCCAGGGAACCGGTGGAAGAATCTGAACGTAACACAAGTTCTGAATACATACTGGACCAGCAGTAAGAAATGGTTCTCAAACCTGCACCAGGAAACAGATGCAAACAGCTGTTAGTTCCAGGTGGCAAAATGGTGGCACATTCTCAATTTTTTCACATTTTAACCAGCATTTTCCCAATTGTCTACAGTAAACAGAGGATATGAAAGAAAGCAAACATTTTGAGGGGCTTGTTTTTAGATCACACACAGGTAGTACCGAATGACTGGAAAACTATAATAAGGATCTCCAGGATTACCTAATCACACAGATCTGTGACCTGCTTGGCTCTCTCACAAAGTCCTTTTATCAACATTTGGCTGATGTCACCTAGTTTTTCTAGAAAATAATGTCAAAAAAAAAAAAAAAAGAGAGAGAGAATTCCACAGACTAGGGAATCATACTTTATGCAAAATTCTTTAGTGATACTCAGATATGTTCCAGTGTCTACAGTTTATAAACAACTTTGTACAGAAAATTAAGTCAGAAAAATCTCATGACCTGCTGTTGTCAAGAGTTACAAATATGTCACACAGTTTAACACCAATCTTTGATTTACTTCTGTGTTAATCTTATCACAGCCAGAGGAGAACTGGACAAAACCAACTCTAAGACAAAAGGCTGTAAAACACAGTTCTTCCCAGAATGGTGAAGAGCTAATTTAATGTTTCCAAATTCTCATCCGCAAATGAAAGGCTCATACAGTTACAGCTGATTCTACAAACCATAGTATGAGGACCGGCATTGACAGTAATCAAACATAACACTTTTCTTTCACTTTTATTATGTCCATTACCACCCCCAAGGGCATTCGCATTTTTTAAAAACCGGCTGCATGTCATCCAAAGGTGGTGTTCTCTTTAATCCTGCTTGCCTTCACGCCACTGGCGTGAGCCTTCGTTCCACGCCACGTACACAAAGAGGGCCAGCACCACATGGACGGCAACCACTGCCACAATGGCAGCATAAAAATAGCTGTCCCGATTGGACATGCCCAAGGCGCCTACAAGAGAAAAAGGTTTCCATTTTAGTCACAAAAACCAAGGCTACTGGGTTTGAATAGCTCTCTATTTACCTAGTCAAGAGCCTGAGCGGTGCCTGCAGTTTGCGATCAGCTGGTACCCTAAAGATCGGTGGTTTGAACCCCCTCAGTGAGTGACCCCTCAGAAGGAAATCCTAGTGATTTGCTTCCATAAAGGGAACAGCCAAGAAAACCTACAGAGCAGTTCACCTGGTGCTCCAGGAGTCAGTGGTAGCTCACATTTACAGTTCGGCAGCAGAAAAAGACGTTTAAGAAGGGACCTTGTTTTCTCTTCCTTACAATACCAACCACCAAAGGTTATTATTGTTGCTCGCTGCTGGTGAGTCAATCCCCAACTCACAACAACCCCATACACAATGGAACAAACCAGTGCCCAACCATGCACCATCCCCAAGACTGTGATCGATCATTGGCTGATGTTTGGAGACAGATGACCAAGCCTTTCTTCCTAGTGTACAAGCACTAAGAAACCCACTCAGCAGCATTTTGTTGTTGTGGTTGTTGTTAAGTGCCGTCCAGTCGGTTCTAACTCACAGCAACCCTGTCTAGGGTTTCCGAGGAACCGTGAACTCTGAGGTTAGCAGTTCAGGATTCTGCTCAGCATCATAGCAACATGCAAACCTCCACCAACACACAAATGGTGGGAGAGGCACTGGTCAGGAATCAAACCTGGGCCTCTCACACATCAGAAAGAAGCTCACCAGTACCCCCACCCAAGGTACAGTCCTTAAATTCCACTTCATGTGCTCTCAAAGGGATACAGAGAAAGGCTGTGCAAGAAAAATTTCCCAGAAAACCATAAGCAAATAAGACGTCAGGCTGAAATAACCGCGAGTGAAGAAACAAAATGAAGACCACCCAGTTTGCAGATATTGAGAGGTCATAAAACCCCAGGCTCTTAAGTCAACAAGCTGAGGAGAAAATGTCTTCTAGAATTACCTTCAAATATGTATGATTTAGTCGTGAAATATAACCCGATTGGAACCGTGATCATCAAGGCCGTGAAGAACAGCAGCGTCTTCAGGGTAGAGGCTAATGAACTTTCAGTCCTGGAATAAATTAGACAAAGAAAATCAGCACCTGCTCTGCTGGTCCAAAGTGTTCCGGTGTCTATGCTCAGAAACGGAAGCACAACCCCTGCAGTGGACGATTCCGAGACCCAGCTGGGGAGTGCACTGCCACCCCCACCGTCAAGACTAACTCCGAAGCACTACAGACATGTCCAAATCGTTTGAGCATGGGCAACCCCAGAGGCAGAGGCAAGGGAGAAGACACACAGAAAACATGTACTGAATGTTCACAACGCATCCCATCAAGAGGGCCAGATAAATACCTGGCTAGCAAGACAGGAGAACCTACAAAGAAAAAGAAGCCTAGAACAATCCAGATACAACCGCAGCAAACTGACTCAACTGCCTCATAATTCAGACTTCACCTAACCAAACGGACTCATTACAAGCTTGACGTAACAACGTTTTCTACTCAGTGACTTCTACTTGTCCACAAACTATTTTAAATTCAAATATTCCAATGGAAAAAAGCTGTTCCCAAATGTAGTGAATTACTCTTAAGAATGTAATAAAGCTTTTCAAATTCTTTAACAAGAAGTCTGAAAAATAGTTACTTAAGACATTAGCAATATAAACTGTCAACTCAACAGTACAGAGAAACAAAACGGGGTAGGATCAAAAACATCCAGCAATAGGGAAACGGTTTCTATAGCTCTCTATGGAGAAATTACAAATAATCATGATGGTTTATTCAAAGGCATAAAGTCACTGAGCCAGACCTCTGATGTACTACCCCAATTATGTTTAAATAAGTACACAGGAAAGAGGGCTCTAGATAAAATACAAAAATAAAGTGATTTTCCCACTTTCCAAAATTGACCATACTGTGGTTTATACTGAATTCTAGTAAAGAGATCACAAAATTCGAATGTGACGTGTATAAGAAACACGGATCCTTCTTATATGGTTCACAAGCATACCAGGAGGCTTCAAAATGTTGGGTGGAAATTTAGAATTTTTCCACCAACTTTTTGAAGTCCTCTTGTATGACTGAGGTGACTAATGTCAGTGGTCAAAGACACTGGCAATAATAACACATAATTGTCGTTGTTATTAAGTGCCGTCGAGTCAGTTCCAACCCATAGGGACCCTGTACAGGGTTTCCAAGGCTGTAAATCTTTACGGGAGCAGAAAGCCTCATCTTTCTCCCGCGGAGCGGCTGGTAGTTTCAAACTGCTGGCCTTAAGGTTCGCAGCCCGATTCATAACCACTACGCTACCAGAGCTCCCCCAAATCAAGTTTTCTTGCATTCAAGTGCGGACCCAAGAGGAACTGAGAATCAGTTTTGCTCTGTTTACTCCTCCAATTACAAGTCCCAGTTGGAAGATGACTGTAATGATTATGTCAATGACCACTGACCCAAGATTCCTATGATAGCTTTTAAGCTATTCCTATGATAGCTTTTAACACCATTTAAGGCTGCGGAGAATAACTGTCAACTTCAACTAATAAAAACAAAAAGCGCAATTTCAACAGTTCCCTTCCAGATTACGGTGGCACTACCAACCTTAGTCCTTGACTTCCTGACCAAGGCTTACATCTTTATTATACAAATATGATGAAAAGCCAGATTTTCAAGCTAGTAAACGAAGATGAGTGAGGAAGAAATTCACTTCTGGAGATGTTAAAATTCAATGTGTGGTATATTTATTGCCATGATCTGCCAGAACCTTTATTCTTTAACATAATTTCTTCACTTTGTGTTTGTATGTGTGCGCATGTGCATGTGAGTGCACCATTTGCAAGAAAGACGATACTCTCTCTGGTAGTTTTTGTCTGTTATCGTTAGGACCAGCTTTCCTAATGTGGCCAGCTAGACTGAATTCTACTCCGCTCTGGGTTCTTCAGACCTGGTATTACAACACTTACTGGAATCACTTCTTGGCAGCCGTACGGAATCAAGGCTAGAGTCATTACAACTCCAATTAGCTTGGAGGGTCTGGCAGCCCCAAAAGGGAAACATTTCAACTTTTTTATCAGTGGTCTCCAAACTTTTTGACCCACTGAAACTTTTGACCTCTAAGTAAAAATGAAACACTTAGCAGATACCCCATCACTTACTGTCCATGATAGGCCCTGTGAGGTTAAGGCATTAGGAATAGGAGGAAAACAGCCTTCCCCTGTACTATTTCGAATGTGTGCTGCTCCCCAAAAGTCCTGCCACAGCCTTTCTTTCCTGAAAGTTTCAAGCACCTGAGCCGGGTGACTGGGATCCTGGCAGGATGCTGGAGAGCAGTGCTGAGAGTCGATCCCCTGTTGCCGTTTGCCACAGTCCCGGCAAAAGGAGAAGAAAACGTCAGCACAGCAGATGATTTTTTGGAAAAGCATTCTTTAGCTCTCCTTTTTAGGATGGTTCTGATTCTACTTGTGGGGATATATTGTACTGCCACATTCACGGCTTCTACTGTGAGTTCTGCGGAGTTTAGGAAAAACCAGTCTTGGAACAATTGTTTCAGCTTCACTGGATTAGATTCAAAGGGAATTGTAAATGAATTAAGGCACTATGACCTATTCTCTCTCACAGAAAACCTACGTACAAAGCAGCTGCATTTAAGAGATCACAGAAGCAGATAAAAAAAAACTAAAGTAAAGCTGACTGACCCCTACAGACCTCACCTAAACCAATTACCGCCCAGAACCCACAAACCCCCCACTACTACATACAGGAACCTACGTAATTGGGCAGAGAATGGTGAACATAAATGAACGGTGGTCAAAATTTAATAGTCTACCTTCCCTGCAGCAATTAACCAGGTTGGGCCCTTTAATATGCCTCACGGCCCCAAAAGAAAGAAATACAGGAACACTGTGGTTAAGCAATTTAATGAATACTTTAGAAAAACAAAAGAATTAAAGAGATGTTAGTAATGCTTTTACTATAGAAAATAGCAGTACTTTATGTAGGATAGAAGATTGATAATTAGCTAGTAGAAACAATAAGGTAGTGTAGGCAATGATGATTGATAGAGACTTATATTAGTAAGAGGATGTAATTAGGGGTCTGGGAGGTGGAAATGATTTGTATAAGGTTTAACTCGATCTTTTAGTGGGAATAAGAAAAAACAATCTGTCACTTACGTAGAAAAGGAGATGATGATGTCAGAAGAAAAATACTTAATGGTCAGAAAATGAACAGGATATGGAAAGGAGGTCAGGCGGGACATTATAGAAATACTTTTGTTACGATTTTATAATCACAAGGTGAAAGAATGATATAATTAAAAATGTGTAATAATTCAAGGGAAAAATCAAAGTATCAAATCATTATGCACTGTGCAATTTTAAGTATAAATAAAGCCTTGCTCAGCCAGGGCAGAGAGAGCTCCATCAGCCAACTAAGTGGAGACTCCTCGACTACTTTCACCAATTCCGTGTCTCCTCTCGAGTCTCACGACCCTGAGAGAGCTGGACGCCCGCAGAGCAGTGCACGTTCAAAGCAGCACAGTTGGCCACCATCTTTGAGTGGGCACAGTTGGTTTGTCCCCTACCCACGTCAAAATAGCACGGGTAACAGATTTGGTTGCTATGCAACATGTAGCTGGCCTTTGTTTACTAGGGCAATTACCAAACCTTTTGGAATCACTTCAAAGCCTTGTGAACACTACATGACAATAAAAGACAGAGACACACAGAATGGGCCTGGAACCCATGATGTCACGTCAAATCCTGCATGGCTCTCTGAGAGCCAGACTGATTTGGTTCTAATGTGCAACGTTCAGACACGCCCTGGGCTCCTGGCCCTGCCTCCCTGTCTGCCTTCCCAGTGGTGTCTGCACAGTAACGCAAAGGGGGCAGTGGAAGGAACCCCTTCCCCCTGTTGCCCCAGGGCAGGGGCAGACAAGTGACCCAAGAGCTGTTGTTATTTTTAAGCGCCATCACTTGGTTCCAACTCACAGCAACCCTGGTTTTGTGCCATCCTCACAATCTTTCCTAAGACTGAGCCTATGTAGCAGCTAGGGAAATTCAAATAGGGTCTACAGCACTTAACAAAGACCATGCACTATGTTCCATTCTCCAATGAGGATTTCTGAACTTAATCAGACGCTTATGGGACCACGGACATATATGCAGTGGGATACTGCCCAAATGGAATATTACATGGCACATACCTGCATGACCAAACCATCCAGTAGATTACAGATAATGGTGATCCCCATGGGCATCAGAGTAAACTGCTCCACAGGGTTTTTTCAATGGCTGCACTTTCAGAAGTAGACTGCCAATTCTGTATTCCAATGCAGCTGAGGGGACCTGAATCTCTAACCTTTCAGTTAATAACTGAGCATGTTAACAATCTGCATAACCCCAACACAGACATCGCATTTTGTATAAAACATTTAAAAAATTATCTGCACATCTACAACATATTCTAGTACAAACAGACACTACATCTGTACATATTCTAGTGTTAACATAAAAACAGACATAAAAAGGTTAAAAATAAACTTCAATGGAAGTTATAGTTTCTTTCGGTACTTAGATGGATCTTTGCGGTGGTAGTGCACCATGGACTTGGTTCCGACTCATAGCGACCCTGCATAAGGTTTTCGAGGCTGTAAATCTTTTTAGGAGCAGAAAGTCTCATCTTTCTCCCGCGGAAATGCTGGTAATTTTGAACTGCTGACCATGAGATTAACAGCCCGACTCGTAACCACTATGCTACCAGAGCTCCTTAGATGGATCTTTAGTGATCATTGAATTATACAACCCTCACCTAATAAGGACTCCTGGTACGGCGCTATAGGATCAGTACAGAACTGTGAAGCACAAGGTTGGCAGCTCAGAGCCACGGAAACCCTATACAGAGTTGCTATGAGTCAGAACCGACTCAACAGTACTTTAAAAACATCTAATAAAAGCTTTCAGAATACACCAACTGTTCCCTATCACTAAAATATTGGAGGAATTTAGCATGTAACTGTACCCAAAGTGTATGTGCATCTGCAGTAGAGAATCTACAGAACATTCAGACACAATCACTATATGACCACTTCTTCAATGGGCCACCCAACAAAGCACATCATGACCTCTGTGTTTCTAAAGTGAGTTTCAAGAGTGCATTTAGGTATACAAACTTCAGATGACCTGATCTGATAAAGGCACAAGGTATAGAGAACCTAGAAAAAGGAAGAAATAACCAGCTACTTTGTTCTGTACATGATTTGTTACCTACTTGGCTCCTGGAAGAGACGGTACAGCATACAGAAACGCTGTAAACAGAGTCACGTCCCACCACTCAGAGGCAGCCTTTTCCTTTCTGCGGGTAAATGTCCAGCCACACACACTCAGCATGCCCTAGCAATTTGTAGCCTGCTTTCTTTAGATTCCCTCTCATGTGTGTCTTTACCTAAGTTTTTTAAATGTTGACTATTTTTCTGGGCTATGGTTGTTGCCATGTGCTGTTGACTCAATCAGGACAGTATGCATCAGACTGCAAAGTCGTTAGAACTGCAAGGTCGCTAGTTCAAGCTCACCAGCTGCTCCTTGGAAACCCTAGGGTCACTATGGGTCGGAATTGACTTGACGGCACTTAACGACAACAACAACAACAACATAATCTTTACAGAAGCAGTTCTGGCGGCATAGTGGATGAGCACTCAGCTGCGAAAAGAAAGGCTGGCCAGTTTGTACCCACATCAGATGTTCCATGAGAAAAAGATATAAATATCACAGCCTAGAAACAGTACAGCACTCAAGGCGGAGGAATCTGTCAAGGAAGCAAGTCTGCAGATCTGTTCTTGCTCAGATCCACATGTGGGTTCAGGCATGTGCACCATCATTACATGCCACCAGGACTTCTGCCTCTTCACTTTTCTGGGCTACTGTTGTTGTTGTGTGCCGTCAAGTCAGTTTCAACTCATAGGAGCTGATGGGTTTGAACCACCGGCCTTCCAGTGGTGCTTACCCTACAGTGACTAGGTGTAAAGGTAAACGAACTGTACAAAGGAGCACTGGGCTGCTAAACACAAGGGTGGCGGCTCAGAACCCACCAGCCGCTCTCTGGGAGCAAACTGTGCTTCAGTAGAGATGGCTGCCTTGGAAACCCTATGGTGCGGTTCTCCTTTGAGCTAGAGTGTTGTTGTGAGTTCGAATGGACTGGATGGCAGTAGGTGTAAGTGTACAAACTTCTCAAAGCTACGAGACTTCCACTGGCTTTTATAGGACAGTTCCTCAACGGTGCCCAGTTCCAGCCCACTGCAACTGAAGGCAAGCCATTCATTTCCTCTCTGTGTCTCTGAGTCAGTGTTAGAGACTTGTTAGAAATGAGGAACTGGGAAGGGCCAGAACTCAAGCTGGCCTCACTCAAAGGGAAAAATTCCAAGAGAGGCTTACTGGGCCCCCATGCTAAACACCACCTAGAGTTCCCCCACTTCACATCTACTTCTGCAGTTAACAACGAGCACAGAGAATTTCTGTGCCAGTATGACTTACAACAGGAAGTAGATCTCTACTGAAAATTCCATTAGGAAACACCAGAATCAGTCCAGTAGAAGTACTATATTCTAACCTTTTTGTGCGCCGTGGAGTCCGTTCCAACTCATAGCGACCCTGAACAGGGTTTCCGAGGCTGTAAATCTTTACGGGAGCAGAAAGCCTCATCTTTCTCTCGCAGAATG